TGTGTATTTTCCATCTTTATGTGGCTCACTTATTTATCTATTATTACTTTATTTCTTTTACTTTCATTTATTTTTCTCTGAGACGGGGTTTCTCTTTGGAAATCCACCTGCCTCTGCCTCTGCCTCTGGAGTAAATCCTACCAGCATGCGCGCAACCACTGCCAGCTTCTATTTATTTACCACTATGCTGTTTCTTTTTCCCTCTCAAGTCTTTATTTTTAAACACACTGTAAAACTTTAGAGGTTCTTCTTCATCCAAGTCTAACTTTACTGTAAATTTTCATGGTTTTCTGGCCACATGTTTTATGTGTTAAAACCGCGGCTGTTTAAACTGCAGTTTATTCCAAGATGGCGGGCGTAAACGTGACTCCAGCTCATTGTCTCTGTCTATGCTGAGATCCAGCAGAGATGTAGTCACTACCATTTCCAGCTGTATGTTCACACCTTTAAATTGTTAGCAGAGCCTCTTAAAAGAAACGTGTTCATTTTTTTTTTTGCTTATGCTGAGTCAGGAAGTCTCCCTTAAGTGAGCCACATGAGTCTCTGCTTGTCACTAGCAAAACAGAGCCCACCTGAGAAAATGCTGCCACCAAGAACCCATGCTTTTCTCTGTTCTTTTCTTTCTAAAATTCCTTTAAAGCTTTTGTCATACTACGTGGAAATTCAACCCCACTTCTGACATCATTTGTGAAAATTATATGAAAGATCAGCTCAGTTAAACAAAGAAATCTTTCACTGGGATCTGGCCTGTATAAGTCGTATGCTACATGGGTCATTTTTCTGGTCTTTAGGGCTGTGCTAAGAACCAGCTGAACAATCCTGCATATAAACCTGAGCAGCGAAGTGTGGATCAGGGAAGTCCTAGCTACTCAATGGCCTTAAGAATGAGACATAGACATTGTGTCATTTCAGGACTGCTCTCATTACATACTGGAGACCACAGTTTATTCAAGCATCCTCTTGAATGGTGTTTCAAAAGCAGGGGGGGACTGTCAGAAGACATCTATTATCATGTATATAAGGTTGATTAGGAAACACTTCCTTTAACCCTAGATATGGTATTAGAATATAGGTACACAAGCCCTCTGACTTTGTGTAATCATATGTCTCACCACTCTTCAGACACATCCCACGAATGCCCAGGCAAGTCCCTCTAGTCCTCATGATGGATGTGGAGCCTAGGTTTTTTGTTACACAAACTAAAAACCATTCTCCAATGTCACCAAGTATCTGGAAGTAACCAGTCAACATATAAAAGACAATAGGAGATTTGAGCTTCTGGAATTGAGCTGAGGCCTATATATGAAATATCATATTCAGGCCATGACATTACCCCCCTCTTGAATTAATAAATGATACCTGTTTGTCTGCAACAGGACAGATGACTGTGCCTGTCTTAGGGAGCTCTCCTAAACCTAACAGATTTTACCTGTCACTGAATGACACATTCTGTTATGCATGTTCTGCCTTAGGCCCCCTGGAGGCAAGAAATCATTTCCTGTCTTTGGCTTACCCTGCCTCTGTAACAAAGGAAATTATGGGGGATGGGGCATGGTTCCATGCCACATGCCTCTCAACCAGTTATTCAATGGGAGCTCACAAGGAAGCTTGACAATGTCAAGCAACATCTACAATCCCACGGATATAACAATCTTCTGCAAATAGGAGCAGGTGAAGCAACTTAAAATGGTCTACTGATACTGGTGTAGAAATGTTTTGAATACCTCTTGCTATGTCAAAGTCTAAATCTGGCTTTGTAAACATTTTTTACCAAAAGACATATAATGTACAAGAGGCAAGAGGAGACCAGATTTCTACTGGGCTAGAAATTTAAATGGGATGACATCTCAAAAGTATTGGCCCAAAGCTGTGTTGTTCAAGAAAGAAAAAATGTACCTAATGAGGCCAAGCTCATTTGTGGGCAGTTGTCAGACTATGTTAGATCACATGTTGGGCTGGGGCCTGCTGGATGTGACTGGATGAAAGGTGGGAGATTGTGAAGGACCTGGATAGAGAAGATATTTATAACCAGATTCTCATGGTAGAACTTCAAACACTAGGAAGGTCCAGGGCAAAATGTGAAAATCTGCTGATGTCCATGTTGAATTAGTCACAAATGCTTGTGTGTAGATGGTGAGGGCAAGTGGAATTACTTTGATCTTGCTTTCTGCAGATTCCCATCATAGCTTGGTGGGAAACTGAGGGCAGCAGGGAAGAAGACCCACCATGGGGCTTTTAATCTCTGGATGAAGTTCATCCCTACTGCCAGCCTGTCTGTGTAAGCAGTTTTGTGTTAACGTTGGAGTTGTTTGTATGTCAGTTGCAATGTTGAGAAAATTTTAAGGTGAAGAAAACATACAGGCAGTTACAGAGAGGATGAGGCCCTTGTGTAATCCCTGCTAAAAGGAAGTCTAATGGAAATGCTGGTATGAATTGATGGATAAGACCTGTGTTGTATGTTGCTTCACTAATCCATTTTCCAAATTCCAGGTCATCACATTCAGGATAATACTATAGTAGGATCTCAACAAAACATGCTATCAAATATTCCAGTGTACAAAGAGCTTCCAACAGATACAGAATACCCAAGTAGTTTTGTCCCTCGGGTTTTACAAGGAAACTCCTTGCAAACAAATCTCCAAATATCTTCATATGCCCTCCAAGAGCACGGTTTCAAAAACTGTCAAAAAGATGCAAGAAACTTATGTCCTCAAAGGGATCAAAATCACCTAGTGGCCCCAGGCAATCCAATGCAATCAAGTTTCCAAAGTTCTCCAGCCCCTGTGCAAAAAGAATATTCCCAAATTACTACAAGTTCCCTAGCTCCGTTTGGAACCCCATTGCAGTCAAGTTTTCAAACTCATCCAGTCACTACCAGCAATATATATCAACTAACGTCTCAAAGTCCACTATTTCCCACAGGAACCCATATACAATTAAGTTTACCAAGCCATCCAGTTCCTTCAAGCAATCGAAATCACCAAATATTACAAAGTTGTTTAGTTCCACCAAGGACCCCAATGCATCAAATCCCTGCAATGTCTCAAAATATCCAAAAGTCTCAAGGCCCCCTATTTGCTGAAGCAACCTCAAAACAATCAACTCTTACATGGTACCCAGACTCTAAGAGGTACCTAGGGCCCCAAGTGTTCCAAGGACCATCAATGCAACCAAATCCCTGTAAGTACTCAAGTCCCCTAATGCAACAAGTTCTCCCACAACAGGGAACCCATCCAATCAATCCCGGTTTATCCTCATGTTCCTTAAGGTGTTGTAGTGTCAGGGATTTCCTAAACTCTCAGGAGAGTAACGACACATATGGAGACCCGGAAGGTTCCTCCAATGTACCAGAGAGCAAGAAGAAAAAACGTATTTCCTACTCCAAGCATCAAAAGCTTCTACTGCAAAAATATTTTGATAAGTCCATGTACCCAAGGCTGGAGGAACGTGAGAAGTTGGCAAAAATTTTTGGCGTGACAGAGCATCAGATCCAGGTCTGTTTCCCTCTCATCCCTCTCTCCCTGAGCTATTATTGTCATTACCCCATCGAGCACCTACATTCCTATCAGAAGGCACACACCATGCAGTTCTACATTGCTGGTTTGGCTTGTGACACTTTTGGAAGTCGGACATTTGCATATCCAGACCTATTTCTGGTCTTCTGCCTTAACCAAGGTGAAATCATGGATCCACATTATCATCCCCCAGGTTCACAGGGACCTAAACATCAGGGCTACTAATAATATCTGGACCTTCCTCTTAAATCTTCCCTAGTCCCATGGTATTAAGTCATGCCCATCCCACGTTCTTTTGGGTCAAGATGTTCACACCTCCTTCTGTTTGTATCAGATTGTGTTAAAGCCAACTTTTCGATGCAGTATCCTTCCCTTGTGCCACCCAGGCTTTGACTTTCTGGGGTTCCTTTGAAGTCTCTTTTGTTTTCCCAGGTCTGGTTCAAGAACCACCGTGTGAAGTTCAAAAAGAAGAATCCCCACAATGTGCTACAAGGTGTTCCAGAGACAAGTGGCAGCTCTACCGCTGATTTTGGTTCAACCAGTTCCAATGGTAATTTAACTGTCCTTGCTTCTAACAGTGGAGAGTGCATGTCTCCATGTATATCTATTGTGGACTCCATTCCCAGTCTCATCCCCTGCCTGGAGCTTCTTTCCATAGGAGGGTGTCACGTATAGTCTCAATGTGAACATGCTTCCTTTTGAATCCCCAGATTCAGCTGCCCACCCTGGTCTACCCAAAGGAAGTGAAGCACCAAGTGTACCAGCACTAGCCAGAGGTCCAGCCTCACCTGAAGCTCCACTTTTCATGGCAGCTGCATCCCAAGGACTAGCGCATGCTCAAGACTCTGGTGCAACTACTGAGGAGCTTTGGCAAAGAGTCAATGAGGTCCTTGATGCAAGAGACGACTGGTTGTATTTCAATTACACTTTGAGTCAGCATACATACCCTGGCAATTGGGAATCCATTCTGTTTGGTGAGATACTCTCTCAGCATAGAAACATGTGAGACGGTCTTGGGTATCCACCTATGAACTGCTTTCCTTAACTAATGTGTCTTTTATCCTTTTTATTTAAAATAAGTATTTCTTTGGTAAAATTTACTGTGGTGTGCTTTTTCTTTAACTTAATGTTTTTGATACTTATTTGGAAGTTTCATATAATATATACCAATAACATTCACTTCCTAGTCCTCTTAGGTACACCCCTAACCGTTGTTACCTTTCCGAGAAGAAAAAGAAAAGAAAACGATTCCAAGACCAACTTGTGTTGCCGTTACTGACACAGCAGCACTGTCAAATTTCAAGTGATTAAACCCATAAGATGCCTGAGTCTGTCCCATCTGCAATCATACCAGAAAAAAATCCACTCTGAAGCGTTCCATCTCTGCAATCTCACCACATATTTTAGGACTTCTCTTAAATGGCTTTCTCTGTAGACTATTTCTCTTTTTAGGGTTAGTTATGTGTGAATGAGGGAGTGTGATTGTCATAAGAGTTTTCTGGTTTTCTTTTTCAATGGTGAAACTGCAGTTATCATTACTACTGCAAAGAGGCGTTCTTGAAATTTATATTCAGTATCAGCACAGACCATGGGATTGTACATGGTTTTTGACTATAGCAAGGAACACAGACAAACACGGATACAGGTGAGGCACAGACAATGGACATACCCATGATCTTTTGTGATAACATGGACCATTGACATCAAGATTGCCCTTGGCCACTGTTATCCCACTGACACCATCATGGAGCTCTGTGTCATCATAATCAACACACAACCACATAGCCAAGGGGCTGAAGCACAGGCAGCAACAGAGCCAAGGAATATCAGCACCATCTGTCAGCACCAACATATTTTCTGAGAAAGTGCCGTATTGATTTCCAAAGTGGTTGCATATTTTCACACTCCCGCTGGAAGTGGAGTATTGCTCCTCTTACTCTGCATCTTCATTAGCATTGGCTGTCACTTGTGTTATTGATGTAAGGTACTGTGACATGTGTGAAATGTAATATCACAATCATTTTGGTTTGCATTTCCCTGATGGCTAAGGCAGCTGAACACTATTTTCCATGTTTCTCAGTCATTCTAATGTCCTCTGTTGAGAATTCTTTCTTTAGATATACACCCCATTTATAAATTAACTTTTATTTAAGTTAAAAACAATTTTGTGGGCCAGGCAGTAGTAGCACACACTTTTAATCCCTGAACATGGGATGCATAGGCAGGTGAAGCTCTGTAAGTTGGAAATCAGCCTGCCCTATAATACCTACTTCAAGGACAGGCTTCAAAACCACGGAGAAAACCTGTCTCAAAAAAAAATTCCACAATCTGGAGATCAGCCCCTCCAAGACCCCAAGCCCAGGGAGCCCAGCTTCAGGTGAGATTGGGTCTCCAGCAGGGACCGCCCGCCCATCACCCTTCACCCTCCATCTTCGGGGCCAATCCCGGCTTCCAGAAGAGCCGCCCACACAGGAAAGAGATCAGCCCCTCCAAGACCACAACACAGCGAGCCTAGCTTCAGGTGAGATTGGGTCTCCAGCGGGGAACGCCCGCCCATCACCCATCCCCTTCCATCTCCGGGGCCTCTCCCGGCATCCAGAAGACCTGCCCACACAGGAAAGAGATCAGCCCCTCCAAGACCCCAACCCCAGGGAGCCCAGCTTCAGGTGAGATTGGGTCTCCAGCAGGGACCGCCCGCCCATCACCCTTCGCCCTCCATCTTCGGGGCCGCTCCCGGCTTCCAGAAGACCTGCCCACACAGGAAAGAGATCAGCCCCTCCAAGACTCCAACCCAGCGAGCCCAGCTTCATGTGAGATTGGGTCTCCAGCGGGGACCGCCCGCCCATCACCCATCCCCTCCATCTTCGGGCCGCTCCGGCTTCCAGAAGAGCCGCCCACACAGGAAAGAGATCAGCCCTCCAAGACCCCAACCCAGCGAGCCCAGCTTCAGGTGAGATTGGTCCGGCGGGACCGCCGCCCATCACCCATCCCCTCATCTTCGGCGCCCCGGCTGCCAGAAGAGCCGCCCACACAGGAAAGAGATCAGCCCTCCAAGACCCCAACCCCAGGAGCCCAGCTTCAGGTGAGATTGGGTCTCCGGCAGGGACCGCCTGCCCATCACCCATCCCCCTCCATCGGCGGGGCCTCTTCCAGCATCCAGAAGACCCGCCGACACAGGAAAGAGATCAGCCCCTCCAAGACCCCAACCCAGCGAGCCCAGCTTCAGGTGAGATTGGGTCTCCAGCAGGGACCGCCCGCCCATCGCCCTTCACCCTCCATCTTCAGGGCCGCTCCCGGCTTCCAGAAGAGCCATCCACACAGGAAAGTGATCAGCCACTCCAAGACCCCCCACCCAGCGAGCCCAGCTTCAGGTGAGATTGGGTCTCCAGCGGGGACCGCCCGCCCATCACCCATCTCCCCCCGCCCCACCGATCTTCTGGGCTGCTCCCGGCATCCAGAAGAGCCACCCACAAAGAAAAGAGATCAGCCCCTCCAAGACCCCAACCCAGCGAGCCCAGCTTCAGGTGAGATTGGGTCTCCAGCAGGGACCGCCCGCCCATCACCCATCCCCTTCCATCTCCGGGGCCTCTCCCGGCATCCAGAATACCTGCCCACACAGGAAAGAGATCAGCCCCTCCAAGACCCCAACCCCAGGGAGCCCAGCTTCAGGTGAGATTGGGTCTCCAGCGGGGAACGCCCGCCCATCACCCATCCCCTCCATCTTCGGGGCTGCTCCTGGCTTCCAGAAGACCCGCCCACACAGGAAAGAGATCAGCCCCTCCAAGACGCCAACCCCAGGGAGCCCAGCTTCAGGTGAGATTGGGTCTCCAGCGGGGACCGCCCGCCCATCACCCTTCACCCTCCATCTTCAGGGCCGCTCCCGGCTTCCAGAAGAGCCGCACACACAGGAAAGAGATCAGCCCCTCCAAGACCCCAACCCAGCGAGCCCAGCTTCAGGTGAGATTGGGTCTCCAGCGGGGACCGCCCGCCCATCACCCATCACCTTCCATCTCCGGGGCCTCTCCAGGCATCCAGAAGACCTGCCCACACAGGAAAGAGATCAGCCCCTCCAAGACCCCAACCACAGGGAGCCCAGCTTCAGGTGAGATTGGGTCTCCAGCGGGGACCGCCTGCCCATCACACATCCCCATCCATCTTCGGGGCCGCTCCCGGCTTCCAGAAGAGCTGACCACTCAGGAAAGAGATCAGTCCCTCCAAGACCCCAACCCAGTGAGCCCAGCTTCAGGTGAGATTGGGTCTCCAGCGGGGACCGCCCGCCCATCACCCATCCCCCTCCATCTCCGGGGCCTCTCCCAGCATCCAGAAGACCCGCCCACACAGGAAAGAGATCAGCCCCTCCAAGACCCCAACCCAGTGAGCCCAGCTTCAGGTGAGATTGGTTCTCCAGCGGGGACCGCCCGCCCATCACCCATCCCCCTCCATCTCCGGGGCCTCTCCCAGCATCCAGAAGACCCGCCCACACAGGAAAGAGATCAGCCCCTCCAAGACCCCAACCCAGCGAGCCCAGCTTCAGGTGAGATTGGGTCTCCAGCAGGGACCGCCCGCCCATCACCCATCCCCCTCCATCTCCGGGGCCTCTCCCAGCATCCAGAAGACCCGCCCACACAGGAAAGAGATCAGCCCCTACAAGACCCCAACCCAGCGAGCCCAGCTTCAGGTGAGATTGGGTCTCCAGCGGGGACCGCCCGCCCATCACCCATCACCCTCCATCTTCGGGGCCGCTCCCGGCTACCAGAAGAGCCGCCCACACAGGAAAGAGATCAGCCTCTCCAAGACCCCAACCCAGCGAGCCCAGCTTCAGGTGATATTGGGTCTCCAGCGGGGATCGCCCGCCCATCACCCATCCCCCTCCATCTCTGGGGCCGCTCCCGGCTTCCAGAAGAGCCGCCCACACAGGAAGGAGATCAGCCCCTCCAAGACCCAACCACAGGGAGTCCAGCTTCAGGAAAGAGATCAGCCCCTCCAAGGCCCCAACCCCAGCGAGTCCAGCTTCAGCATCCCCAGCTTCAGCTGCAGTAAGGAAGGAGACCAGTGGAGACGGAAAGACCCCACCAGCACCCACTGGAAGAAGAGATGGGAAGAAGACAGAATAAGAGACCACTCAGCAAGAGAAACACCAACATGACCCCACCAGAATCCAGGGATCAAACACCAGCAAACCCGAAAAACACTACATAGATGAAGAAGAGGAGACAGACCCTAAAAATTATTTCATGAAGATGATGGAGACCCTCAAAGAAGAAACAAGGAAATCCCTTAAAGAAATAGAAGAAAAAACAAACAAAAAAATCCATGAAATGGGGGAAAAATTCAAGAAATAAACAAATCTCTCGAAGAATCTAAAGAGCACCAAGAAAAAACAACCAAGAAAATTAAGGAAACAGCTCAAACAGTTGAAGTATTGAAAGGTGAAATAGAAACGATAAAGAAAACACAGAATGAAGGGATGCTGGAAATAGAAAAGCTCTGTAAACGGTCTGGAACTACAGATGCAAGTATCACCAATAGAATACAAGAGATAGAAGACAGAATGTCAGGTGTTGAAGACTCATTAGAGGATATAGAGTCGTCAACCAAAGAAAATCTCAAAACCAACAAATCCTTAACACAAAATATCCAGGAAATATGGGACACCGTGAAGAAGCAGAACCAGAGAATAATAGGTATAGAAGAAGGTGAAGAACTTCAACTTAAAGGTACAGAAAACATATTCAACAAAATCATAGAAGAAAACTTCCCTAACCTAAAGAAAGATATGCCTATGAAAGTACAAGAATCTTACAGAACACCAAATAGGCTTGACCAGAAAAAGAAGTCACCTCGCCATATAATAATCAAAACATCAAACCTACAGAGTAAAGAGAAAATATTAAGAGCAGCTAAAGAAAAAGGCCAAGTAACATACAAAGGCAGACCTATCCGAATTACACCTGACTTCTCAATGGAAACGATGAAAGCCAGAAGATCCTGGTCAGATGTCCTACAAACGCTAAGGGAACAAGGATGCCAGCCCAGACTACTATATCCAGCAAAGCTCTCAATTACCATAGATGGAGAAAACAAAACATTCCATGACAAAGCCAGATTTAAACAATACGTATCCATGAATCCAGCTCTACAGAAAATGCTAGAAGGAAAACCTAGAGCCAAGGAAGATAACTACATTCACAAAGACACAGGCAATATATTACCATACTCTACAAAACACCAAAAGAAAAATGGAGGAGAAACTACACAAAATAACTTCACTAACAATAAATCAAGCGCAAACAAGGATCACCAATCAATGGTCATTAATATCCCTCAATGTCAACGGCCTCAACTTGCCTATAAAAAGACACAGTCTAGCAGAATGGATATGAAGACAGAACCCTTCCTTCTGCTGCATACAAGAAAAACATCTCAACACCAAAGACAGACGTTATCTCAGAGTAAAGGGCTGGGAAAAGATCTTCCAATCAAACGGCCCCAAGAAACAAGCGGGCATAGCAATACTAATATCTAACAAATTAGACTTCAAATTAAAATCAATCAAAAGAGATGCAGAAGGGCACTTATTATTCATCAAAGGAAAAATACACCAAGACGAAGTCTCGATTTTAAACATCTACGCCCCAAATACAAAGGCACCTACATTCGTGAAAGAAACATTACTAAAGCTCAAAATGCACATAAAATCTCACACACTAATAGTAGGAGACTTCAACACTCCGCTCTTACCGCTAGACAGGACCTCCAGACAGAAACTTAACAAAGAAACAAAAGAATTAAT